ACCTACTACTAACTAACTAACGAACGAACGAAAGGAAAAGGTAAAGTACGTTAGTTAGGTAGTACGTACTACTACTACTACAACTAGTACTCTCTCTCTCTCTCTCTCTCTCTCTCTCTCTCTCTCTCTCTCTCTACACCCATAGAAAAATAAGACTTGGGTTTACCTCCCAGTCAGTATTGGCACCATCTGGATCAAGTGATAATTTGCTTGATAGTTTGCGCTTCAGTCCATCAATATCTAGAAAAGATTCCATAATTGTCAGTAACAGATGAAAAGTTCATGTTCACTTCAACAAGTTTTATTTCTTTTCTTTTTGTAGCTTTCAGAGGGCATGAGCTCCCACAGTACTACATACTTGTGATGAGCTTATCATCGCCTAAGTGTTTCTATCTGTATGGCCTGGATATTGAAATTTTGGGTTCTCTCAAAAGATTTGACAGGGATCAGAAACCACTATTTCAACGAATGGAACTTTCCAATCATAAGAGAATGTTTCTGTTTAAAAATGGAAAACAAATCTTTGAAAACACCTTATTTAAAAAATTTATAGAAGGAAGGATTAAGTTTAGATCCTTGTGCATATATACATGACACGTGAGAAAAGAGGCATACATATGAGAAAAGAGAAAAAAGAAAGAAAATGGGGGGGGGGGGGTGGTACTTTTGTGAGTGCAATATTACTTAATAGAACCTTTTGCAATTCTAGTTTATTCTTCTACTTATGAGACAATGAGTTGGCAGAAAAAACAATGGCATGTGACAGTCCAAAAGGTATATACAGTTAAAACTGGGATGAATTCTAAGAGGCAAAATACAGAAAAACAATCAAGATTACAACCATTGCATGCTCTGGAAATGGACAGGTAGACCTCATGACTTAGGCGCCAATGGATAGCTAGACTTGATGTATCAGTCTTTCAAATTTTACCATGATGATGAGGACCAGGCCTCATGACTTGAACTCCAAAATCAACAACATGTGGAGAGAAAAAGTGGGGAGGTTGTTGGGATGGATTGGTTTGCTTCTTTTTCCATTTATATGAATTTACATATTTTATGATGATGAATAACTCTTATCATTTTTTAAAGTTTGGCCGAGAACAAACCTGATTCTCTAGGTCTTAGGCGACCTCCAGGTAATGTGAAGAATGAGTTTCTGACTTGCAGCAGCAACACATGAGGGTGATCAAGTTCCTGGACCTATGTTAACAACAATGAAAACAACTAAAATAAAGGAATCTGCTAAGTTATGAAACAATTAACTAGTGACATATACACCCACACTCATTTATAAGCCATCTAAAAAAAAAAATCTTATAGAATAGCAATATTCCGATTCAGCATTTTAAATTCCAAAAGTAACAATAGCATCAACAATATATAGAGTAACATCAAGTAGTCAATCCAACTCCCCTTGTAATCAGAAAGTGAAAGTATAGCAAAACCTATGGACCATGGAAGAACCATAGTCCATTTAATTATCACATCAATGGATGTGATGAGAGAGGGAGGGACTCACTTAAATATGAAATACGGTAATGGTGGGCTCCTGTATTTTCATCACTGCCCATCCATTGATTGGACAGCGATGGCCCAATGGACTGGTTTTTCCATAATCAGTAGAACTGTCAATAGGATTCTAACAAATTTTCTTAATAGGACTATCTCTGAAGATGATTGTCATTTATGTGTATAATTTTTACGTATGTTTACATATATGAACATAATGTACCTACGTATGTTCTTCTCCTAAAGAATGTAAGCTTGAGACCTCGTAAGAAATGTATAAGTCTAGGAGCAACTCATAACAAGTAAGGATTGAGTTGTACCAGATCTTTTCAAATGAAAAAATCCTGACTACTTGGCATCATGTTTAGAGTCACAAACTCTTTGACTCTTGTAAATGTGTGAGCAACAGCTTAAACTGAATCTTTTCATTTATTGCTTCTTCCCCCATGACGATCCGCTTACCTAAGATGCTTTTTGTCCATAAGTAGAATATATCACAAAAGAGATATTGTATAATTAGGCAAAGTTTGTTCCTGTAGTTGAGCAAAAACCATATAAGCAAAAGTCAACCGGCCTCATTAATGACTTGGGGTAAATACTCTCTGAATTGGTGCCTTAAGGAATTCTTGAGCATTAATCTCCACATGAAAGTTGAAGCACTTGAGATTTAGTGAAGTTAAATGCCATTGAATGGATGGTTGTACATATAGAAGTACGCTAGGCTCTTACCCTACTGATAAATCCTCTATTACTGTAATATGATAATTGAATAATAAGAGGGCATTCTAGTATGAGGTTGGCCTTTTTAATTCCTCACCATATTGTTATCCTTTTATTCTTTATGATATTATTAGGATAACAGGACTTTTAGGATATATGGCTGTCTCACATTTTTTCTTTTTTTATTTTAAGTACTGAACATAATCACCTCCTTCCTTTTTAACTTGAAATTAATGGTGGGACTTTATTTCCATGTTTCATTCTTTATCACATAAAAACCTTTCTTGACACATCCTAATACCAAGAAGGAGATTATGTGATCATATATGCTTAAGCCTACGCCATCCTCTAGTGAGTTTTGAAGGTGAACTTCAAGAGTTGTATAAAATTGAATTTGGGGCTCTTGGCCTTAAGGATGTGATCCATACTGAGGAAGGCGGTCTCCTTGAATGTTTTACAGGGTAACTAGGAGCAGCAGAATTCACACGTGTAGAAATAAAAGCAGATTAGTGGGGACTATGACATTGTTATTTGTGACATGAGGAGACTGGGACTCAATGAAGTGTACTATATAGGTATATGAAAATCGGCATTAGCTAATACAAAATCCCAAAAGGTTGATAAATGGACTTGGTATTATTGAAGGTGAGGAGGTTAATGTTCATTGTATGGCTCATAGTTAAGGGAACCTCGATCCCACGGTTCCTACAAAGAATCTTGTAGGGACCCCGGTTTTTCAATTTTGGGATCTCGCTTCTAAAACAAGGGCACCATCAGTGGAATCCAATTCCATTTCGAAATAGATCCCCACTCCTATCAACCATGGTCCAAGATTTCGGTTCATTAAAATCTTGGGTTCCATGTTTGTGGGATCTACTTTCATCAATGGATGATACTAGGTTAGAGATTGTCATTGTCCCGAGTTCCCATTATTTAGGAATCATAAGTTCTATGATGGTAAAATCCAGTACCTTTTTTGCATAGCATGAAGTTCCATTATTCTAGATTCTTAATTTAAACTAGGCATAGTCTAGAGTGAACCATTGTTTTATTAAGTCCTATTATGTAAGCCATCCTTCTTAGTTGTGAGAATATATATTTTATTTAAAATCTTATATTTATGATGTCCTATTGTTTTAGATTCTTAAATCAAAATGATAAACCTTCTTAGTTGTGACATGAGAATATATGCTTTCATTTCAAGCTTTGGAAAGCTTCTTTTACATGAGAGAGAGAGTAGTTGACTACATTAAAAGAAGATGACTCTTGAGTGATAGGATTCTAGGTTACTGGGGCCAACCACCGAGGACCTTGATTCCTATATGTTAAGAATTTCGATATTAGAACAAGAGCAACCCCATTATATAACATACTAAAACCTCGATTCCTTAACCAAGGGAACTCGTACTAGCTCTACTTGACAACCTCATTTTTATGTATAGTGGAGCTTAGATTCCTGCTAGTTAAAACATCGAACCCATTGACATGGGATCTTGCTCTCATAAACCTAAGGATCTTGTTCTTTTTCTTGTTCATTGTACGGATGCCGATCCTAACCCCAAGGAGATTCCACTATAGGGTGGTTCGGCGAGTCCCAAACCGATCCCGCTCCCGTCTACAACAACTATGGTATGGCTCAAAGGGAACTACTCAATTCCTTAGAAACTTGGCAGAATATCAAAGATACCAATGAACTACTTCTGAGATTTTCTATATTATCGACAAATCCATGTCCCCTAGGTAGAAAAATAAGATGGTAAATAGCTAGGTCATTATGGTTTAATCCACCCAAAAAAAGGTCAGAATGGTGTAAACAGAAACTTGTTGAAAATTATATTTATTCAGTTTTGTTTGTCTACTCCCAGACAACATACCTATAAATTTTGTATCCGTTAAATGACATTATTGTCCTTGAGAAAAGACTAACAATAAAAGAATTATCCTCAGGGTTTATTTCATTTATGCTGATATTCACTCTTGATGACCATTAGAATCTTGAATGATAATTAGTAGACACATATTTAGCTTGAGTTAAGAGTGTCAAGTTGAAAATATATTACCCAGCATGGATATTGTGTCTCTCATTATTTACCTCATGTCGTAAAGTTTGCAAGTTTCTTTTATCCTTCATGTTTAAAGAGATACGCCTAACTTGGTCATGACTCTAGAATCTAGATTCATTTGGCTTCGTCTTTGTATTAACCTTCAGCCCTGGAGTCGCTGTTGTGTATTCATGAGAGAGCCAGCAAAATTAGCTTCCATTGCAGTTTCTCACCCCTCCATAGAGGATTAAGCTCTCTCTCTCTCTAGAGGATTAAGCGCTCTCTCTCTCTCTCTCTCTTTATTTTTATATGCATTTGATTTTATCCCCATATGTTGGTCTTAATAAGGGTATACATGTCCTCTTCAATACATAAAATATGCTTCCTTTGTGCTGGATGTTTCTTGACTTCATTCTTTATGCTTTTACTAATATAAATTTAATTTTTTTATAGGAAAAATATTTGTTAGAGTTCGTCAACTCATGTGTCCATCAATTTTTTGAAATTTGGAAGGGATTTGGGATCCAAAGCATATACTAAATCACTGTAAAGCCATTTTCCCTCTGGTCCATGTATTTGAAGCCCCACAAATAGTGCAGAGCTTAGGATTTTTAAAGAACTAAAATATATGGTCCAAAAGAAATATAAAATAGATCGTTTTAAGGTTTTTTATTTATTTATACTATTTTGCATTCACAATCGTGGTTTTCAATTGATGGACCAGCAAAATTGTGATCCAAAATCCATCTCCAATTTGGATTGAGAGAGTGGGTGTGTCCAGAAGCACCTAAACCCTACCCTTTTTTATAAGACAAACACATTGTTTTATGTAGAATCTAACACAAACTTGGAATAATAAACAAAAGCATTTGTACAGATTAATATACCCTTGGTTATTTTTTAAATTAAAAAATATAATAGATGAAAAGATATATCACATCCAACAGGACCAGGAATAAATTGTAGTGGTAGCAGAAGGAATAAGCAGGCAATCACCGGTCCGTAAGAATTTATGCTACCATTTATCTTGACAAGAGACATTCACCTGGAACTATGGTTCATCTCAACCTTCCATCATTAGAGTGGATGGTGGATGTCCCACTTGTGGAAGGCATACAATACATAAGAAGTGCATGGTATACTTTCCCATGGGTCGTGATGTTAAAGAATCTAGCGAGTGTCCCTCACCTGTGAATGTTATATACAATACATAGGATGTGTATGGTATATTTTCTCATGAGTCATGATGTTAAAAGAATGGGAAAATTTTATATCGACCCCTAAAAAATTATTTAATTTCACAATAACCCCTCCCTTATTTTTCCTATTGCAAGGCATTAATTTTTATTAATATGTATCTTTCTACCCCCACTTACAAACTGCCCCCAAAAAATTATTTTTACCTCAATAACTGCCCTTCGTCATCTATTGCTATTTTGGGGACATGAAAGACGGAGGACTGAGAAAAAATTTCATATTTTGTTTGGGCTTATTGGGGTAAGACAACAATAGGGAGGGAAGCATGAGGGGGTGAGATGATAGATACTTCTATAAGCTAATGTTGTATGATGTTCTAAAAATTAATGCCGTGCGATAGAAAAAAAGAGAGAGGGGTTATTACAAAATTGAATTTTTTAGGAATATGTACAAAATTATCCCTAAAAGAATCTAGCCAGCTAATTACTATTGAACATTCAGTTTCTTTTATAGGAAGAAAATGAAGAAAGCAAATCATAAACAACAGATAAAGTAGACAAATATGTTATAAGGATAAGATACTAACCAGAATGACTGCTGCAACGCAGTTCCTTATACCATGTCTCATATAACTGATACACATGAAAGAAATCATGTTGGCTCAGTAAACAAGAAAATATATTGTTTAACCTATAACTATGTGCCAAATGTAGTTTGGTGGGGTTTTCCAGAGGAGATATTCAATTTTAAATATCTGGCTTCCATGACAACTTTCTCATCAAATCCCATAACTAGCCAGAATTAAATGCAGTAACTCCTAACCAACCTTAGTAAAGTTCATCGGTGCAGCAACATGTGTAATGCAATAAGCCCATTCAGTATGATTATTAAATGCTCCTCACTACATAATGGCCATGAATATTTAAGCATATTATTTAATCTTAATAACCGAAATAACCATATCAGTTAGCTGAAATTTCTTCTATTTAACCGGAATAATAGCTCTAAATTTAATAATTATGAACTAATAACCAAACCTAAGGATTCACTTGATACATCTTAACTTGACAATAGACAAGTAATGGAACTTCCTCTATACACAGTTCACTAGTATACAGTTGCCTAGTTTAAATTGCCCATTGTACCTTAGACACAAGCCGTTACCGCACTATTTTCACTAGGCAGACTAAAAAAATCATAAAGTGATAACTGTTATTACAATACAAGAGCAAAACAGTGAGAATAACTTGTATTGGTCGGTTCATTCAGATGTAACTGTTTCTATTATATGCCATGATGAAACATGTATAGAGTTCACTCATATGGTCTCAATGCACATAGCCATGTTCATCACTTGGCTGTATATAGTGATAGTTTTCTTGCAAACAAAGTAGCCCCCTCAAATTATCCAATATCTAAAGATTGGATGGGCTACAATAATTCACATAAAGCAATGGAACCTCCAGAAATACGATTCCAGTTAGAACGCAATACTTAAAAAATGTTTGGCTGTGTAACTTGGACCCAGAGTCATGGGATGCTCTCACTATCTTCGAAGTATTGCACTCCCTCGACACATAATTTTACCTTACAAAATCTAGTCTAGGGCAAATATAATCCAGTGATAAAGCTGGACGAAAAGAAACATTTGTTAAAGAACCTTCAAAATTGCAATCTCTTGAGAGCCTTTTAAGAACCTTACAGAGCCCTGGACAGATATGCCTGTCGGCTAAAACAGATGGGATTTAGGCTGTCAATCGCAGAGAAACAAATATCTTGAAAATGATTGAGAAAACATTGTGAAATCTCGGTTTCTCAACAAACCACCATGATAGTTCATGGTAGCAGAGTTTTATCGCTTTAAGAAACGTTCTCATCCAGTTTTCAATTTAAAATGTAGTTTACATAGACTTGAAATTCATTTGTCCATCTATGACAATTATACTGGAGCAGATGGGACTGGTTGGAGAGGACGCCCATGTCACAATATTTGAAAACTGAAAGTATATAGTAGGTGTAGGTGGCTTAGGATGCCATGACCACAGTGACCTTGGCATCTATCACAACTGTGCAGAAAGGCCCTAGGGGAGTTTTAGTCTTATTTACTTGTTTCTAGTGAAATCTGTGTGTTAAATCCGAGATTAAACCATTCAACCTTGCCATAGCTCTCTCATAAACAGAAAGATAGATCCCAAGGTCCAAGCTATATTTTGTGTTGATCAAACACATGATAATATATGAATCTTCACAGATTTAGCCAAGACAATCAAAACTCTATTAAGTGGTTTGAAGTACCAAAAGACGAGTTTTAAAACCATTTTAAACTAATGCAGGCAACCATGTCCCCTGGATCCTCGAGCATTTCTTAGATCTTTTGAATACTTCTTACTCAACCGAGAGCTACAGAAACCCAATTCAGCAGATCGATTGAGAGAGAGATGACATGGTGAATCAATTGATATCAATGAATAATCTATATCGAGTAATCTACTCTACAACAAGAAATAGAACTGACAAAAAGAAAAGAAACAAATTTTTACAGAAACCCAATGGAGTAGATGGTGAATCAATATCAAATAATCAGCTGCGCTTGAACAAGAAATAGAACACGAAAAAAAGGAAAAGAGAAATGATTAAAAAGAGAAACCCAATTGAGAAATTGGTGAATCACTTACTTGGATTTCATTCTTTCAGTTCTATCTGAGATATAAGCATCTTTTTCAGGCTTGGGTTCCTTTGATCCAAATGAGTAACAGGAGAGAGGATACACATCCACAATATCACCAGAATTCATTTTCCTGAAACCCCAAAGGAAAAATTCATCAAATAATTACAAAAACACAAAATGAACATAAAGAGAGAAAAGTTCAGAGAGAGAAAGTTGAATTCTCATCAAAAGTTTGAACTCACCACTGTAAAGAAGTAAAGTAGAATATGTTCTGGTGGGTTCTTGTGAATGAGACCCCGTATCCAAGAGGGCGTCGTTCTCTCACTGTTAAGAAGCTCCACTTGAGAGAGAAACCGGGAACTCTGATTCTTGGGATCAGTAACTGGATTGAATCCCAATGCCCACTAAGCAATAAGACACTCTCTCTAACTGGACTGAATTCCTATGCCCTCTCTGCGATCACAGTCCCCCCTCTCGCAATACACGATGGGTAAAACGACTCACTCTCTCTCGAATACCCAACTTTGCAAGAACGAATCTTCTCTCTCTAGAATACTCACTTTGTAACGAGATTATTCTCTTTTTAACACTCTTTCTTGAATTTCTCTCAGGAAGGATATCTGCGTAAGCAGGGCACATTACTTTCTCCTGCTCCCACTATCGAACAATTCTACTAATCCCTATTTAAAATGCAATGCAACTCCCTCTCTCTCTCTCTCTCTCTCTCTCTCTCTCTACTACTACTACTACTACTACTACTACTACT